TTGCATGAATCACGGTGCGCCAGGGGCCTCATGTACGAAGACTTGCATTGAATTCATATTAAAACATTGCTTACACACAAAGCTGTAAATGTGCGTACACACAGATGTATGAAACACTGCGTACATGGAATCCCATGCATACTTTTTGTACATCTGAATTAACATGAAACTGAACGCACGTGCATAAGCGCAAACCCCCCCTGCCTCCTCCCCTGTATGAATATGTAAATGACTGTACTTTGGCAAAACCAAACGAAAAAGTAATGGCAAAAGAAAGCAAAAAAAGAAACTTTCAACAGAATGTGAATTGGAGGTGCTACTTTCAGAGGTCGACTGGAGAAAAAATGTATTAATTCAGGAGGACAAACTTACAAATAACAAAGGAAAAAAATAGAGTGGGAGAGTTTAGCTGACGCGGTTAATGCAGTTGGGTCTGAACATCGCAGTGTGAGTGAATTAAAAAAGAAATGGTCTGATGTAAAAGTGCAAAATTTTGTAGTGTCTATTTAGGCTGTAAATAGCACACCTCGTTGGAATGAGCTAGTTAAGTGATCCCGCCCATCACCGTTTGATTGACAGAGACAAGATAACTAAAGAAAGCGGCAAATAGCAGCGTGAGTGGCGTAGCTCGTAAAGCGCATGGCAACATGTTTTGAAACGTTCGATCATGAACTCTGTTCGAATCCAGCGTCTCATGAACTCATTCTTCTTTCCCCCACTACATAACAGATTTTGTCTACTCTTCATCACGTGGAAGACAAGCAGGAATCATTAATAAGTGTGTGTATTATGTTAAGCGCATTTGAGCATCACATATTATTTGCACATTTATTGAATGGAAGTGTTTCTGATTCAAGTATGCAAATTCGTCTACAGATGGCGCCTTTATAGCAATGTGCGTGCAGTTAATCTTTCTGATTGCAATGGGAAAACCGGCGATTGCTGCAAATTGAGCTTTAAAGGGTCACGAAACACCAAAACACATTTTTTGAGCTGTTGACAGTCGTATATGTGTCCGACACTGCTAAAAACACTATTAGGTCACCTATATTTCACTAAAAAGTGTAAATTGGTTGTTTTTGCATTATTTCAAGCAAATTCGTACTTCCGGTTTGAAACGAATTTTTGAAGCTGCGTCACGGCCAAGACATAATAGCGTTGTATTCCAGCGTGCAGACTGGGCGTCTGTGCCAGAGTGAGTCTTATTACGTCTAACAGTGTGTTGCATTAATGCATGGGTAAGGCTTGCTTCAAACCAATCAGCGCGCTCTATTTTGCAACTTCATTAATATTCATTGCTGTCAGAGTGTAGACGGCAAAGACGCCACGTTGTATTGGCAAAACAAGCGTGAAGTGTTGCTTTTATTGTTTGCTGCAGTTAAGTTTTGTTTTCATTTCCTCTCTGTGAGAGCTCTGAGTCGCGTGTGGATTAACAGTGTACGCGACGCTCGACAACAATAACTTGCGTGTCTAAGGAGGAACATTGTTTACCTGAGAGCTGTTCTCATCTGCAAACGCTGAGATCTGGATTCGATTTGGTAAGTGAGCGACCAGTGCTCTTTGTTTATTCAGTTCGTATTTTATTTGTATCAAACAAACTATTGCACCAGTGTAAACAAGTTAGCACTAACAGTTACAACCAAACTATAACCTCGTGTTGGATTTTGTGACCGGAATGACACACGCGGCTTTCTGACGCTACCTGCCGTATGCATCTAAGTTTCCGGGAAATGCTGATTTTTTTTTTTTTCTCTCATTCGCTGTGCGGTATCAAACATTGCATGAAAAATACACGCTTAGAGCAGATCCTCGAATCAAATATCTCATTTGTCGGGAGGGACATGAATGAATTCCCTGAATGAAAGAGCCAAACTGCAGTTAAAGTCCACCATTTAATAATTTGGCAAATAATTCGACAACAGATGTCCATGTAAACAGTCACATTGTCCGCTGTGGTTGTGTGTTTTGTGTGTTTGTTTTGAATTCAGCGCGCCCAAATAGACACTCCCACACCAAGCCTCTTTTCTTCCTCCGACACTCCCCCCTAAACAGAGCTGGACACGCCCACTTTTCTGACTTTTTCCAAAGTAGAGGGGTGAAAACACCCTGCTGAAACGAGGGGGTTTCATGGCCCTTTAATGTTTGGCTGGTCAACTGCATGGTATGGAAACCTTATATACCTGCTAGACATGCGGATGATCCTGTCCCATACAGCTGCCATTGCACGGCTCAAAGATACTTTGTAGTGTGCAATTTAACACAATTGCCTCTAGGAGTCGCCAATGAAAATAAAACAAACACACACAAGAAATGCACGTACGCCAGACATGAATTGGCGTGGACCAACGCAAGTTCTCACGTTCATTTAATTGTTAGTAAATCTAAACGTGAGTGTGAAATCTGGCATACGCAGCATTTATACATGAGGCCCCAGGTGTTTTTAACCAGGTGCAGTTAACATGTGCTCGCTCCCATACCTGCTTCATGCAAGTTGTGCGCCTCCTTTGGAAATGACAAACGGACACCCTAAGCTTATTACCATTCCTTCAAAGGCGCGCTCAGTAGCAACAGTTTATTAAAACTATAGTGCTTCATCCTGAAACTTTTTACATTTTTATTTTTTTATTTTTTATAATTTATAATGGTGCTTTAGTCAATAAATATCAATGCTGATTTTTATCGCCCAGCCCTAGTTTTAACAATAATAAAAAAAAATAATTAAATGCGTTTCATTTTTGATTAGTCAGATCAAAACTAAACAAAACAACAACAGCAATCTTTATCAATGACCACAGTACAACTCTTCATGCATGTCCATTAAAATATAAAACAAGGTTCAGTATGTGGATCCTATCCTGATAGGTCTGATCTCTGAGGGAAAAATTTAGCACCAGTTTAAAAAAAATATATATATATATTTATTTTTTATTTAAATTTAAAACTGATGCTAAATACCCCCTCATACATTAGACCTATCATGAATTGTTGCATATAAGGTGGCAAGAGGTGTGGAAATAAACAAAATAAAACTGAAATTGCAAGCATATTTTGGTAACGATTTCAGTTTTAAGTCACAATTCATGTAATTAACAAACACTCAAACTGCAAATTTTCTGCTTATTAATAGTTTATAAGGTAGAAGTTGGGTTTGGGTTTTGGGTAGGAGTAGGGATGCAGAATAAGATCATGCTTTATAAGTGCTAATAAACAGTTAATATCTTAATAATATAGGAAGGTAATAAACCAATAGTTAATAGCATGATTTTGACTTAATATTTTTAATATCCTTTAAGACTAGATTTGATCTATTGGATTTTACCAGATGTCATATTGAACCTACAAGATTTAACTCCTGATTTTTGTTTATTTATTTTTGCCTTAAGGTGAAGACCTCACTGTTTGTTCTGCAAATGTCCTTTTACTGGAAACGTGTTTTATTGGACTGACCTGACTGTCCTCTTTTTAATGACTGCAGAATTATTAATTATTATTTGTTTAATTTTCTTTTTATGAAGTAAACTCACTTAAAGATATATTCAGCAAATATATATATATTTTGCCAGGAAAATGTGTAGAATTTCTATCAGATAATAATGTAAAAAAATCTGATCCAATTTATTGTTTAATTGTTTGTGGAATATATTTATTTTTAACAGTTTGATTTTGCCATGAAAATAGCCATTGTTGCTTAATTTAGCCTAAAACTTTTACTGAAAGGTGATTTAACATTAATAGGAACAAAATGCATTTAAGGAACCTGTTAATATGTTCATGTGAGGACATTTATATCCATTTTGCCAACTTGCATATCTCTAAATTATTAAAACGTATACCACATTTTGCAAAACAAGCAACATGTCTTGAGTGCCCAAAGTCTGTCAGAAAGCAATAATACAATTCAAGTTAGGAAAGCATAAATATCCCTGTATGGATTTTGCTTTTATCTTTTTGAGATGTAGCTCTGCAATAATAGCAACACACAAGCAAGAGTGTCATTTTCCCTGAATCTCAGTATATGAGCATGATCACATCTTGACTGCAGAGTTTCATTCCTGTGTGAATCTGTTTTTGGATGAATCAACCAAGTAGGTGGCCACTTGCTTCGTTTATAAAGGATTCTGCCTTTCTAAATGAATCATTTCAATGAATCAATAGTTAATACAGGGACTTACTGCCATCTGCTAGAGGTTTTTTGTTTTGTTTATCCACGATGGGCCTAAATCACGATCACAAATACATGCTCATTAACATATAAAAATTATTGTGATCCTAAAATAAAGTCACCCAAAATATTAAATGAACAATTTTCAGCAATACCAAGTTTTTAAAAAGTAAGTTTTTCAAATAAGTTTTTTTGTATACTTCTTAAAATAGTAAAATGTAGTTTTCTTTATTTATATTTATTTTATTTTATTCTATTTATTTTTGTTATTTATTTACTTCTATTTATATTTTCTATTTATTTATATATTTATTTTAAACTATTTATTTATTTTTGTATTTATATTTATTTTTATGTTATATTTTATATTTATGCATTTATATTCTATTTACTTTATTTTTGTTTATTTATATTTTATGCTTTTTGTTTATTTTTTATGGATGTTATTTATTTATTTATTTTTGTTTTTCTACTTATTCTTATTATATTTTTAAATTTATTTATTTATATTACGCTGAAATTGCATGCCTTTATACATTCTTAAGTTTTCATATTGTTTTCATATTGTTTGTATTGAACAAGAATCAGTGCTTGAAGAATAAATGTAAGAACTGATAAATTAATTAATTAGTTCTCAAAGCTTTTACGGAGAAATACAATGTATAATGTAATACCCTGGGGAAAATAGCTTGTCAAAGAATTCTGCAGCAATTTATACAACTTAAGTTGTGTCAAAATTGATTTACGTGAATGAACAGGAAAAGGGGAAAAATCCATAGCAATTTGTGAGCTTTTAGGACAAACAGATGGTGAAATAATCCTTGACTGGTCATTTAAGATATGGTGCTCCAGGGGTAGAGATGACGGGACTTCATAAAGACACTGCTGCTGTTACGCAGATACACTTCCTCTGTGGACAGGTAAGACTGTTTGAACATTTTACACTCGGGAGATACATGTATTTACTCCAGCCATTGTAGTTTATTGACTGTGCTTTATTGGAGTTTGAACTTACTTTGAACTTTTGTTTTGTTTTTTTGTAGGGAAGAATACTTTCTCTTTTGGATGATAACACGATTCACCTTTGGGAGATCGTGCAGAGAGAAAACCGATCACATTTGCTAGAAGTTCACAGCTTCAACCTGCCTGGCAGGCCGGGCATCGAGAGCACAAGGTGTTGTATTTTTTTACATTTTTCTCGCTCAGATTTGCTCTTGCGGTGGCGCAGTGGGTAGCGCTGTCGCCTCACAGCAAGAAGGCCGCTGGTTCGAGCCTCGTCTGGGCCAGTTGGCATTTCTGTGTGGACATTGCATGTTCTTCCTGTGTTGGCATTGGTTTCCTCCTTGTGTTCCGGTTTCCCCTATAAGTCCAAATACATGCAGAGGTGAATTGGTTAAGCAAAGTTTTTCATAGTGCATGTGTGTGAATGAGTGTATAGGTGTTTCCCACTGATGGGTTGCAGCTGAAAGTCCATCTGCTGTGTAAAACATGCTGGATATGTTTGCGGTTCATTCCACTGTGGTGACCCCTATTTAATAAAGAGACTAAGTCGAAAAGAAAGTGAATAAATGATTGAAATTTTGCTGTTTGTGCTTTGTAGTGCAACTCGTGTGACGGTCATGCTGCTGAATCTGAGCTGTAATCTTCTCGCTCTGGGGACTGAAGGTGGTGGGGTTCACTTTCTGGAGTTGCCTACCCTCACACTGCTCAACAAGTCTCTGTTTCAGGACGAGATCATGCAGAGGTAAGAGCTGGTCTTCAGTCGTTATACGGACCCTGTCAAATCATCCACTAACACAGAGAGATTACCACTTTACTGAGGGAAAAATTACAAAATTCATTAGCTTCTCTGTAAAAATGAAAGACCAGTTAAATTAAACATTGCCTATTTCTTTAAGATTGATAAAAGAACTATCTAATGCCCATCAAGACTGCATTTATTTGTTTGAAAATGTTTATTTTTTTATTATAAGTCAGAACTTAATAAAAAAATAAATAAGTTTTACAGATTGACTAAGTTGAAGAAATCTGAATAATATTTAAGAATATAAAATGTATATAATATAATTGAGTTTGTTACAATGTAAATCTCATCAGTTTATTTAAAATGTATATATTTGTCAGAATGTATTCCCCCCACCCCTCATTTTTGCAGAATTGAGTTTTTTTTCCTTTAAAAAAAAGAATGACATCTATTTGAAAAAATATTTTGTAACATCATGTATTTCCTGCCACTTTTGTTCAATATAGTGCATTCATTCTAAATAAAATATTTATTGGTATGAACCTTTGACCCTTATAATCTCTACAACCTCACTGAGAAGTATTTTCAGAATGTCTCTCAGGGGAGAGTTAGTATTTTAAGGCTAATAAGCTAATAAAGATGGCTGTCCGGACAAATTCCTCAACTCTTACCTCATAAAACAAGCATTGGGGGACTCCAGCCCCCTCTGAAAGGACTGTGCATGAGCTTAATGAAGCTGCAGCCTCCTTTTAGTTTATTTTCTTTCCCTCCTCTGCCCCTGTCCAAGCTGCATTTGTCACACTTCCCTCCTACACTGTGAACTGGGAATGGATCAAACTTTGTGATTCTCACAAAGCTCTTTTCCCCTTCTTGCCCCCAGCTGTGTCTGTCTGTCTGTTCCCCTGTCAGTTGGTTATAGGGAGTTTGAGCTTTCCTGTCCCACTGCCAAAACACAGTAGACTTCACACCCCCACAGATAGATGTTTAAGTTTGATCCCTGTGATCTCAGGAGGTCTACGAGTAGAGACACTGACAGGTGCATGAAAAAAAAACAATTTGGCCTGCAATTTTAAGATTTTGGGGTTGTATAAAATGTTTGTTTTTAAATGTAAACAAAGTAGAGTCGAACTTTTATTCCGCTTTACAAAGTCTATAGATTTCAATCACAATACCTATTTTGGGCACACTTTGTTTTAAAGTACAGTTCTCACTATTAATAAACCATAAGCCAAGACTTTTAACTCAATAATAATAATTAGCTGCTTATTAATGGTTATTAAGGTTGTAATTGGGTTTAGGTATTGTACATGTTTAGGGAGTGCTAATTTATAAGTGCTAGTAAACAGCCAGCATTTTAACAGTAGACCGGTAATAAGGCAGTATAACAAATGACATAACAAAAAGTCATGACAACAAATGTCTTGTTACGTTAACTTATTTTAATACATTAATCAAGTTTCAACTTCAGTCAGTTTGATGAGTTGATATTATTTGAAAAGTTGATTCCATTAAAAAGTGTAGGTAAAAACATCGTTCAAAGTGCAGCATGAAAGTTTGATATCCAGTGGTTGAACTAGGTATTGCACACCTAACTTAAAACGGACACAAGCGCAGGTTGCCAGATTGAAGACACCAACAGCAGTGTGCCTGACTGTCAAGTCTAAAGGCTGATTTAAACAGTGTTCTAAATACAGTAAAAGCAATGGCACGCAATAGAAGGAATATTCTCCATATTAAAAGAAGTTGCTCTAACCAACACCTGAAATTTATATTTTAGATACAGCTTCTATTTCTTGCAGCTGAACAACAGAAAACTATGACAATGATCACCTCAAGTACACAGTTATTCAGTGTTAAACGCTAATAATGTGAGTTTGACTGCCATTTTGCATGAGATTTATTGCCATAGCAGATAGTTCACTTCAGATCTTGAAAATAAAATAAACCTTTTGAAATTGAACTTTAAATCTGTAACTCAGTGCAAGCCAACACCTATCAGAGATATAGCATCTTCATTTAATAATGTTAAAGAGGTATTAATCAGACTATAAACCTTAGAATTTTGTTGGAGTGCAGTAAGTGCACCATCCTGTGCTTCTCAATGGCTGTATTTAAATTTTTCATTTTTTGTCAGGTTTAAACAGGCAAATTGCTTATCACTGCAAATCACGTCACGTAGCGTGTTGTTAGGACACAAGGTTACAACCTGCTTGCCTAATGTTTACGTTCATAATATTCATGTTATTTGCTATTTAATAAACACCTCATGTTTAACTCTGAATCTGCATCTCATTTCGGACGATGCTACTGTCCAACGGAGGTCACATTTCGATCACGGATGCACACTTTGAGAGCCTTCATGACTGAATGAATCACACCAAGGCAACCCAAGTGCCAGTGGGTGGGTTAAATGATCAAAACAAAGACAGACGTTTCGGCACCTAACGGACATTTTTAAAGCAGAATATCTGATTTCAGCATTGTTTTTCAGATAAACAAGAATGTTCTCTTAGCATGTTTCTTAAATATTTGCAAACATATTACGGTATTTTTATGTTTTTAGAAGAGTCAAAAACTTACACTTAGCACCTTTAATATGTAGTAGGGAACAATGTAGTAGGTAATCTGCACTTCAACTAAAGTCTTACCTGCATTTGTAGGCTTCTTTCTCAAAGTTAGTTTATTACACTGAGCTATAAATCTTTACATGGGCATCTTGCTACTTTTTTGGTTTGATTCATATCTGTACTCTGAAAGGTTTTATAGAAGGATTAGTTCATGCACAATTTGCTGATCATACATTATTTTATTCTACCCCAAAATTGGGATTTAGTTTATTTATTTAAAAAAACAATTCTGGCTATTATCTGAATTTTCAGTTTTTTAAGAGCTCCCTAAATATAAAAATATATCTTAAATGAAAAAATAACTTTTAAACAAGATATTTTGACATGACATTTTATGTTAAGATATTTAAAAAAATGTTGGAAAGCCAGTAGTAGCCATTAACTGCCATTTAAATATTGAAATCAGTGGCTACCATTTTCCAACATTCTTCAAAATAGTGTTCAACAATAAAAAAAGAAACTCCTTACATTTTGGAACCACTTATGGGTGAGTAAATGATGACAGAACTTTGATTTTTGGGTGAACTATCCCTTTAAGCCTCTGCTGTTCAGTTGCCATTGTAAGAATATTTATAAATATTTAATATATTTGGCTGCTAAGAAGAAACCCGTTTTCCTAATGACTGTAATTCTGTCTGTAACAAGGCAGGGAAATCACACTAGCTATTCATCGAACTCTTTGAAGACGCTGTTTAACGCAGAGATAAATTACAGCTTCTGTTGCAGATATAGCCTGGGTGGCTAAATGCGGACCTCATCTGCTTCTCAGAGTCCTTGAACTGCTCATTAACGGAGCACAATTTGGGGTAATGGGCATACTATCTGAGCCACTGGTAATAAGTATGTGTCAGCCAGGAAACTACTGAACAAAATGCTTTTGTACCAAGTGCCAAATCTCTTGAGCTCCAACCGAGGAGGCGTTTAAAACGGAGGATATGAGCTTTGCACACTCATCTTTGGGAATCTGCAGGATCTGGAATGCTAGAATGTACTTTGTGGCTTGGTTGGAAAAAACATTATTGTGTTTTGTGGTCGTTTGTTTGTCTTTAAGGCATGTGGAACATCTAGATTGATATGCATGAGCGTTTCAATGTCTTCCGAGTACTGATTTAATTGTGAAGGGTGAACATGAAACTATGATATTAATTCTCTCTGGGGTGGCCAAACTTTGCTCACCTCACTAGTTCAGTTGCTACTCTGAGTCAGTTCTGATTAGGATTTGATTTATACTGGAGCTGCTTGATATTGGAAAAATCTGACATTACGATTGTGTTTTTCTGCTGTTATATATTGTGTCATGAAAACAACTTCACCAGATGAATTAAATGGCTCTATGGGGTATATGCCGAAGCATGCTAATAGGACTTTTAATTTGCCAGTAACCTGGGTTAAGCGCTTCCGGCGAATTGAATGCCAATTCATAATCCTGTGCGTTTAAGGTCTGTTTTCTTTAAAAATCAGCGATCTCCACTAGCTGAGTGATATCCGATTTAAAGTGGGTCTCAGATTGTACAAGAAGCACTGCATTAAATTACATTTCCCTGCCATATCTTTATAATATGAGGATTTATAATATGAGGGCGCGTGCGAGTAAACAGCTTTTTGTCTCGTTTTACACTTGAGCAACTAAATAAATGCTAAAGTTTATTAAACTGAATGTATTTTAATGACATTACAACATCGATGCTGTATAAGGAACCGTATAAAATGGAAAAAAGTTCACAATAACAGGCCACCGGAAGTGTATCAGCATGGGAACAGCACTAGCTCGGCATATATCCTATTTGGTAAGAATTCAGGTACATAAATTGAATAATCAAATGTAAAATAGCACCAAATGGCATCTTCATTGTGTATACATAATTCAATAAAAGGTATCTTTTTATAAAAGTTTCAAATGGTACATCATATTTAATTTTTTTTTTTTAGCAGTGAACATTTAGGAGAATGATTAAGTTGCCTTATGGCTCGTTTCCACTGACTGGTACAGTACGGAACGGTACGGTTCGGTATGGATTACCTTTATCAGGCTTGCGTTTCCTCTACCAAGGGTACCCTTTTGGTGGGCGTGCTGTATGACAGTTTCAGTTGACGCCATTTTCGCTCGAGAAAATGTCTACAGTAAAGCTGTACGGGTCGTTCACAAATCATATGAGAAGCACTACAAAACAGATGCTTTATACACAAATACTTCTGTATAAATGTTTATTACTAAATTTTCTATGAACTGGATTTGATTATAACTGCAGATCAATGACAGTGCGAAATAGCCTACTGTAAAGTATGTAATTATATTAAATAAATAAATAAATGCAACATATATGAACACATAAATACCCTTACAGTCTCAAATATTTTTTTCCAACTACAGAA